AAAAATGGAACAGATATTTTCTTTATAAAAAATAACATTTCATTATTTCAGCATCAAAATTTCGCGCCACTGTTTAACAACGCAAAAAATAGCGTTTTAATTAGATGAGAGCCGCTAATTATTGCATGTAAAAGTACGCTAAGTATAGCGATTGCTGGTTTATGACATAATTTCGATTCAAATAATACAAATAACTTTCACTTTCAAGCAAAACCTATGCTGTCTCAAAGTAATTTAAAACTTATATATTTCTCTTTTATACATAGCTACCTCATATATGCGAATATAGCTTGGGCGAGTACGCATATAACCAAATTGAAAACTTTATATCGACGTCAGAAACATGCTGTAGGACTAATCTACCATAAAGACAAATTTACACACGCTGAACCCTTATTTCAAGAAATGAATATGCTTAACATTTATCAAATTAACATTTACCAAAATATATTGTTTATGCTAAAGTTTTAATTAGGTCAAGTACCAAATCATCTTTTAAATAACTTTTTTTTAAATAACGTTAATAAATATAACACAAGTGAAAAAGGAAACTTTATTACACCTTTCAAAAAAACAAAACTTTCCCAGTTCTCAATTTCATATCGGGGTCCTTATTTATACAGCAAACTAGTAACTAAAAATAAATCAATTTGCAATCTAGATAATCAAAATTCCTTAAAAAAAAAGTTAAAAAATCTGATACTGAATCTAAACAGATATTCAGAATTCTTCTAAGACTATAAATTAAAATACATATATATCAACTACAAAGTGAACTAACTCGTTTATGTGTATTATGACGTTTATGTGTATAATGACTCTTATCTTTCTCAAACAATATATCAAAAATTGTTTATTACACACAAAAAAAAACACTTGGTTTTTTCTTATTAATTTTAGTTATTATGCTGCTTGTTATGTCTAATTTTTTATACTGAGCTTATTTTGAGTTTATTTTTTATTATGAGCTTAATTTAAAGGTTATAAAAATATAGTTGTACTTAATATATAATTATATTTAACATAATCATAATATATATCAAACACATTGTAAGGGCTTCGTGATTAGATCATTACGATCTTCTTGAAGTCCGGCCTGTACTATTTAATTATAAATTTTACTATATATTTTGACTCACGAGACTTGTAAATATTACAACTTTTAATTTACGAAACTTGTAAATGTTATATTTACGGCAAATATATGAATAAAAAAAAAAAAAAAAAAAAAAACTTCGCTGCTTACATCTCAAAAATCTTTTAGTATGCTCTTACCAAGGTGCACATATTGCCCTAATCTACCCTTTAGTATGTACATAGTTTTGCAAAAAAAAATGTTGAAAAATTATATTATTTAACAATTGTTTATTATTATATTACAAAATATGGAATTATAAAAATTTGATGTGATAAAAAAAAGTTGATAACTATAGAATCTCGGCAATTCCAATCTGCTCTAAGCATTTTGAATTTGTAATCCATACCAGATTGTATGGATTACAAGTTCATGTTTCATCTTGTAATCCATGCCAGATTGTACGAGTATTCAAGATAAAAGTACTTAATAAATACAAATTTTGTTTCCAATGACAATATTCAACTGAACACATAGTTCTAGATTTAGTTAGTCATGTAAAATATTTTTGATAAAAAACGTTTTGTATTATAAATATATTATTTTTGATAAAAAAAAGCATTTGTATTATAACTTTTTTTGATTAAAAACATTTGTATAATAATCTTTAAAGACCTGTCAAAAGCGTTTGACACAGTAAGTAAAAAAAGCGTTTGACACAGGAAATAAAAAAAGCGTTTGACACTGGAAATAATAACATTTTACTTAAAAAGATGGAAGGTTATGGGATAAAAAATATCACATGACTGATTCAAAAACTACCTAGACTGTAGACAACAATGTATTATTTTAGATTATAAACACTCAAAACTAATAAAATTAGAATGCAGAGTTCTCGGAGGTTCCATTCTTGGACCCCTTCTGTTTCAATTATATAATATTGAACTTACAAAAGCCTCAAAACAACTTATTTTATTCCGCATCAATCAAAGATTTATACTGATATATGAACGCTTGAAAGTGTGCTTTTAAAAAAATGTTATTTACAAATGCATCGTTTCTTTAAAAAATAACCGTAACAAACAGTTTATTGGCTTACCCGAGGGTGAGTGGATAAAAAAAGTTATGCCAACCACAAACAATCTTTTAAACATAAAAAATATTCAAAAGGCACCCTAAACACCCTAAACATTAAATTGGTTTCTTTTAATAACTGCTTCTGCCTATAATGTTTCCAAAAAACCGCCACACAGTGGACAAAAACTTATGGACAAAAAATCATTACTCCTTTATTTATTAAATTGTCAAATTAAAATTTTTATGAGTAATTCTTGTCATCATGAAGATCTTTTTTTCAAAAAAAAAGATGTTTTTTTTTTTTTTTTTTTTTGCAGATAAAAGCACCTTAAGTACTCTAATAGAAAAGGGTGTATAGAGCGTTAAGGATTTTTGACAAAAACTGTTTTTAAAAACAGTTTTTCCAAGATTCTAAGCATTGATTAATTAAAATGTTTGTCACGTATTAAACCCCTTTTTATAAACAAATATACATTTATTTATTAAATATTTTATCAAAAACCAGATAAAAATATACAAAACTTAAAATTAAAAAAAAGTTACAATAAAAGTTTAATACAATCTTTATTAAGTTCAAGTTCTTTAATACATCTCGAACTCCTTCTTAAAGAGCTAATAATTGGATCTGAAATGCACAATAATTTTCGCATAACATTTTTATTAGTGAATTTTCTTAAATATTTTCTCGTATAACGTTCTCTGTGATTTTTAAAGTCTTTATTTCGACATTCCTGAGCTCCCTAAGAAAGAAGACCTACTGTTGCTGATTTATCCCTTACAACTTGAAAACTATTAGAATTGAAAATGAGGCATTGGAAACCATGGGTACAGAGAAACAAAGAGCTCTGTTGTTTCATTGGTATATTTTTCAAGTTCATCAGCATTAGTTTGATGTTTCTACAATAAAACACAAAGAATTATGTAAAAACGTTTCATAAGATTTTTTTTTAAGCCTTTCAGCAGACACCTTATAGTTTCGGAATACTTTTTGTGCCGTGTTTCCATCATTTGTTGTACCTGAACCACTGCTTTTTGGTACATCTACAATTAAACCAAAGTGATCTTTTACCTTTTGTTAAATAATAATCTTTTTTAAAAAACAATTTCTTTCCTATAGTACAATTTGTTTCCTTTAGATACTGCTCCAATACAAATCGTTTAGTAATCGGCTTTACTAAGTTGCCATTGATAATCAAAGCTAATGCTTCCTCTCCAGTATACATTGCTGTTGAATTAACTGCCCCATCTTTCTCTGATTTTAATATTTGCTTCACAACCTTTAATGTAAAAATGTAAATTTAAAAAGTGAGATGAATAAGATTCACTAAGAAAATTTATCACCCGTGGTATTTTGGAGATTTTTTTTTAATAAGATAAGTTAACAATGGCTGTAGTATAAATTATAATTTACCTTAACATCGCTGAATATTTTTTCCTCTTTTAGCTTCAAAATACGTGAATAAAATAATTCCTCTCTGTCGACAGTAATGTTTGTTTTTCTGCTCTCCTTTTTTTTGTTTTTTTAGATTCACTCGGGTGAATGGTATGGAATTCGCACCTGATGGTCTTCCGTAGATAACTAAATTAAAAAATCAGATTATTGTATTTAGTATTAACACTTGCTAAAATACAATTTTTTAAAATTTTAAAAAACATCATAAGTCTATTACTTTAATTTTTATGACATCATACCTAAAATGTGAGAAGAAGTAGGAAAAGCCGAGCCCGAGTTTTGGCCCTTGTCTAGTTTATCTGTTTCAAAACATGCATATCCTTTTTGTGGTTCTTTTTCTAACCAGATTTTGTAATACAACTCAAATCTATCCTTGTGTTTGTTTACTTTATTCCATTTTTTGTTAAATTGTTTTGAAAATTTGAAACCATTGCGGTTAAATTTATTATTCATGAAGTTTAGCTAATTGCATATAAAAATTATTCTTCTTCTTCCCATATATAAAAAATAAACTTAGTTAAAATTAACTAAATTAATTGACTTATTACAAACTAATTATTGAATATTGTATTATCATCAAGCAAGTATGTATGCAAAACATCATCAAGTATGTTACAAGGTTTGATGTTAACAGAGAGATTAACAGACAGAGACGAGGAATTAATAAAAGATTTGGGAAAAAACCACATTGCTTAATAAAGTGGAATAGCATTAAATTTTATTGTCTCTTGTAGTTTCCGTAATTGCAATTATTGATTCAGAGTTCATATTTAACAAGAATGTGCTTTGAACAATTGAAAATGACAAACGAGTCGTATGTTTTAAAACCTACTAAACTTTTAATTTGCGCAATTTTGCGCAAGATATTTTTAATGAGAAGCTTTCTACATTATTAAGACACTGTAAAAACAGTTATTCCTAGAGTGGGGAAACGTGGGTAAAAAAAGAACTTGAGCCTTTTATGGTAACTTTTTATTATATTTTGTAATACATTAACTGTCATATTTAAAGTTAAGAAAAAAGTTATAAAATACAAAATTATTTTTATTTTTTAAGTTTTCTATAAATTAAGCATGTACTCTGATATTCAGACTATAAAATTTTAAATAAGTTCAAGAAAACTGCGCTTACTAGGTGAAATTCAATTTTATGAGTATTCTCTTTTTTTTTTTTTTTTAAAAAAAAAACAACGTTTTTTAAATGGACGAGCATGAAAACTTTTTCAGAGCTCCTAAGACAAAAATGAAAATATTTAAACGACAGATTTTTTTATAGTGAGGTATTTACTTTTGAAATTTTGCAAAAAAAAAAAAAAAATTTTCTCAAATACTCATTTTCGGCATTTATGCCGATCTCTGACCCACTGTGCGCCGTGGTAAAAATTAACAAAAAACCGGCTTGGTGAACAGACGTAATTTTAACAGAAAGAAAAAAAATAATTAAAAATGGCGATTACTTTATTGGAAATGAAAAAAATGTTTATTCTACATAAAAAAGAAATACAAATATTATTTAAAGAACAAGAAAAAGTATTCGTTGACTTACTTAGTGATAACTTAAAAATACTCAATGCACGCTTGGATAATTATTGAAATAAAAATCATTAGATTGCGATAAAAAGCATCTATATAGACAGGTCGAGGTGTAATAACTTAAGAAAAACGAAATTCCCGAAAATGCAAATGAAACTTGGGATGAAACTGAAGAAAAGGTTAAGAATTTATTATGCGTAAATTTAGAAGTTAAAGGAGTTGAAATTGAAAGGGTACATCGAGTAGGATTTAAAAAAGAAGCCCGATCCCGAACCATTGTATTGAAATTATTGAAGATAATAATCAAAGACAAATCAAACATCCTAAAAGAAACAAAAAAACTAAAAGGTCTCAATATCTACGTAAATGAAGATTTCTCGCAAGAGACGGAAAACCTTCGTAAAAAGTCATTTACAGAAGCGAAAGAAAAAAAATTTAAAGGAAAAAACGATATTGTCAGACATGAGTGAAAAACTTTTTATTTAAAAGTGTTTGTAATAAGTCAAAACGATGTTTCTAGAAAACTAATCATTTTAAATCTTAACTTTGCATATTTTAATAATAAAAATGGCTGACCAATCGAACGCAACAAATTTTTTTGAAATTTTTAATAAAAAAAACGCACTTCTTTTGAATAATGATAATGATTCAATGTAAATTCAGATGTAAACTTTTTTGACGACGTCATAATCAACTCAAACTATTTTGATATTAAGGAAATTTCTAACCTCATGAACGAGTCACAAATGTTATTTTCAACATTAACTTTAAACATACGTATTATGCGAAAAAACTTTTTAATCGATGTGCAAATAAGTTGGAAAGAGTACATTAATCTAATAGAAAAAAAAAATTAAAAAATTATTGGAATTATGTATAAAACTAGATATATGCTGGATAAAAACTGTTTAAAATCTATTTACTTTTTATTTATTCGTAGCTATATTAATTGTTGTAACATTATTCATCGAGACTAACGTGTATCTTAAGAAAACAAAAACAAGCAAGTCGCCTAATATAAAATGCTAATAAATACACTAGTGCCAACCCACTGCTAAGAAAGCTTAGAGTGCTGAGTGTTTATCAATTAAATATTTATCTTACTCTTTTATTCATGTTTAGATTAAAATATCATATGCTGCCTAATATTTGTGAAGACCTTTTCTTGATTATAAATCATAAACATCAAACCAAGCATTCATTGCATAATTATCAAGTACAAAAAACTTTGTTAAAACAATCCGAATTCTCTACAACATACCGAGGGCCATATTTGCAATCACTAACACTGTTGTGTAATAACGAATAAAATGCTAATTGTAATTACTAAGTCTAAAAATGATATTATGCAACAACAACAACAAAAAAGGAGTGGCTTTATTTCCATAGAAGCAACAACAGTTTATTAATTAAGAAATCGGAATGTTGCTCAAGAAAAAAATTGCATAAAATTATCAGAAAAAGTTAAAAACAAATTATAGTAAACAACATCCGCAGCTTCATTACACTTCTGCACCTTTTGAACTGAGCATGGGATCCCTTTTTAGCAGGTAAAATGAAATTGTCAAACATATTTTTCTACAATCCTGTTTATATATATGTATATATATATATATATATATATATATATATATATATATATATATATATATATATATATATATATATATATATATATATATATACATATATATTTTCTTTTTTTATATTAATATATATATATATATATATATATATATATATATATATATATATATATATATATATATATATATATATATATATATATATATATATATTTCGTCGTTATGAGTAATTACAATACCAAAGAACATGAATAAAAATAAAATATGACCGGGGCAAAAAGAAGACTGTAGTTGTCTTATCACTAAGCCCCGTAATAAATACACTGTAAGTTACAATGCTTGTAAAAACCGTAATAATGTAAGTTACATATCATTTAAAAAAATTTTTACCGTTAAAGTTTACTAAAAATATATTTTAAATAGGGAATAAAATAACAAACCAAAAAAAAAGACCATCAAAAAAGAAGAAAAAACAAACAAAAAATACAAAACAAAAAAAAAAAAAAAGAAAAAAAAAAGCGAGTATTATTATTCATCATACTTATGGATCTAAATAAATAATCTTAGTAATAAACAATTATTAGAATTAATTGGTTAAACATAATTGTTATGCAGCAGCCGTATTCTCATCTCTCCGTTAAGCTTAACGGAGCTTTTGTCTGAAATTTCATTACAATATATCTACGTAAAGAAATGACGAAAATCTTATTTAAATTTTTTAAAATAAAACTACTACTAAAATAAAACATTTATTTTTAAAAATTTATATTTTTAAAGAACTTTTTTATTAATATCTTTAAAAAGAAATTTTTTACTAACGCTCCGTTAAGCTTAACGGAGAGATAAGAATACGGCCCCAGAAAATTATTAATAATAGTACTCTCATTTAAACGCTTTAGAAGAAGTTTAGCTCATTGTCGTTTAGTAAAAGATTTTGCTTAAGTTTAGTTTTAAATTGATTAAGTGAAGAAAGTGTTTTAAGATCATTATTTAAAAGTGTATTCCATAATTTAGGACCTCGGTTTGTGATTGAGTATTTAGTGGCAAAATAATAGGTTTTGGATTGAGTACAGTTATTATTTGAAAATCTTGTGCTGTATATATGATTTATTTTTTTAAATAAAGAGTTGAATAAAAGTGGTGTCATCTTTTTAACAAATTTAAACATAAATATAAGAATATGATAGAGATTTAATTTAAAAACATTTAGAATATTAAGTTTGCTAAAAAGTATTTTTGTATGAGAGAAGTGATTTTCATTTGTAATAATCCTAATGGCATGTTTTTGTTTGCACAGAAGTTTACTTAATTTTGCAACATTGGTGCTACACCAAGCAATGTTAGCATAGTTTAGGTAACAGTGTATAAATGAATAGTATATGTATTTAAGACAAAATTGGTTCAAGAACTGTTTAGCTTTATACAATATTCAAATATTTTTAGAAATTTTATTCTCAATTACAAATATATGTTCTCTCCACGTAATATTTTCATCGAGAATTACGCCTAAAAATTTTAGAGACATTTTCCTTTTTATTATATTTTTATCAATAAAAAGATTTGGAAGTTTCAATGGAATATTTTCTTTTTTATGAACACGATGGAATAATGTGTATTTGGTTTTAGCAATGTGTAAGGATAATTTATTGGATTTAAACAATTGGGTTAGTTTATCAAGTTCTTTGTTAACTGTTAAGAATAAAATATTAATTTCTTCATGAGAATAAAATAAATTAGTGTCATCGGCAAATAAAATTGTGTTTAAAATATTAGAAAATTTATACAAGTCATTGACATAAATTAAAAACAAAAAGGGGCCCTAGAATTGATCCCTGGGGAACACCGCATGTGTTGATCATATTATCTGTTTTACCACCATCGTAAGAAATATATTGCTTCCTATTAGACAAGTAACTATTTAACCGAGCCAAGTTTGAATTTTTGATGCCATAGAACTAGAGTTTGGACAAAAGAATTAAAAGATCGACTATATCAAAGGCTTTACTTAGATCTATGAAAACACCTAAAGTAAATTTTTTTTCATTAAACCCTTTAAATATATCATAGACAAGATGTAAGATTGCGTGATCAGTAGAATGACCAGATTTAAAACCAAATTGTTTGTTTTACAAAATATTATTTTGGAATAAGAAAAAGTAGAGTCTATTGTACATAATTCGTCTAGAACTTTTGAAATACAAGTAAGAACAGAGATTGGCCTATAATTAGTAGCGTCATTAGGATCGCCTGATTTGAAAATTGGGACCACCCTAGGAATTTTTAATTTTTCCTGAAAAACTCCCTCTTTTAAAGATAAGTTGAAGATATACAAAAGCGGGATTGTAATAAGATTGATTAAATTTATAATAATGTTACCATTTATATTGTAAACACCTATACTTTTTTGGGGCTTAATCGAAGACACTGCGCATAATAATTCTTCAGTTAGATTATCGTTAGGCATAATATTAGTTTTATCAGAGACTAAGTATGCATCAAAGTTAATCTTAGAGGGTTCAATTTTTGATGCTAAGGACGGTCCAATGTTAATAAAAAATTCATTAAGTGTTTCAGCTACTAATTCTTTTTTTACAACATAGTTATCTTTGAATTTAAGAAGTTTTGGAAAAGTATTTCTCTCTGGATTATTTTTACCAATGATTTCCTTGATAATCATTAGTAAAAATAATTCAGAGAGAAATACTTTTCCAAAACTTAATTTTGCATAATTTTCAAATTTAAAATTACCCAATCACTTTCTACTTTTTAAAAAACTATCTTTTGATTTTTTTAAAAAAATCATAAGCAATAAAAGCATTAGAAATAAAAGATGAAAATTGAGAAAAATTGTTAAACATATATATAACCCGTTCATGAAACACGTTTTATTTTAAACGCGTTTTTTAGTTTTATAATATAAGGTATAGCTGTAACAACTGGTGTTAACAGTTGTGAAGTGCAATAACGGTAGATATTGTACTGTAACAGCTAAGTTTATTTTTTGTTTATGTTTTAACAAAAAGTTTCTGAAAATTTCAGATTTGTCTAGTTTATTTTTGAAGTTACACAGCAAAAAAGTTCTATAGAATTTTTTATAAACTTTTGAAACATATGGCCTATAGGAATTTTATAAAATTATATAGAATTTCTATAGAGTTTCTTCATTTGGAATTTGTGTTGTCGTAAATACGGACCTTCATTTGATGTGTTTTGATAATTGTTTGTAACACCAATTTTTTTTATCATGACCATGTTGAATTTTAAAATGTTTAATAAGATCTCCACGTAGTCTACGTTCTTCTAGAGTCATTAATTGCATAATATTTAATCTAGCTTCATAAGGTAATTTTTTAATTGTAGGTGCTAGTTTGGTTGCTCTTTTATGGATCATCTCAATTTTATCTGTCTTGTTGTAGGAATGGAGACCATGCTTGGGCCGCAAACTATATGATTACTTCTTAATAGTTTAAAAAGTTGTTAAAAACTTATATGGTTAACTTTAAAGAGAGTAAACCAATTCGATTATAGCTTTCAAAGCTTACAAACTAAATTTCAAAATTTTACTTGCCGTTTGAATAATAACAAAGACTGCAACACAATTTAAAACAATTTTGTCTTAATTCCTCCATCAGCTTATCATTTATACTTCTTTGACCATACCAAGTATTAAATTGATGATCAAACATTTACTAATACTTTTAAGTTATTATTTTTGTCAATTGTCACGATTTCTAGTATATTTTGTATAAAAATTTGCATAAATAAATACTTTAATAAGTCTTTTTGTAAAAAAGTCTCTTTTTTTTTTTGTACATAATATGTACAAGTTAAATTTACTATGAAAATATTACCTGCAGGTATATTCTAATACTCTTTACAGCATTGTCGACAATACCGGGGGACCAGAAGGTGGAGGAGGGGGTTTTTAAAGCCTCTTTTTTTTTTTTTCTGAAGAAAAATTTAGATAAAAGACTTTTTTTAAAAATTGACAATTGTGCCCCCCCCCCCCTACTTTGAAACCCGTGTCGTCGTCCCTGCGCAGTAGAACTGTTTCTCTAAAAACATAATTGATTTTTATAAAAAAGTTCATGTCAATAAGATATGTGTACATTTTGTTATACATTATTATAGAAAAGATTGGTATACTGAGATAGTAAAATAATTTGTTTGTAAGGTTACCTGTTTTAATGATTGGAATTCTTTTTTAAAGGAAAGATCCTTGTGTAATAGGTGCTTTAAAAACTTTATAGAGGATATCTTTAATAGCATCAAAGGGTCAAATATAATATTCTCATTTAAATTATCAGACCCAGTTGCTTCATCTTTTTTAATGCTTTGAATGCTATTTTAAATTCACTATATGTTAGATTTGAATGCTAAATGCTCAACATTTTAATTACGCAGTTACATTGATCTGTTTGAAATGTTTAGAGCTTATGTCGCGGGGAAATAACTTTTTTTTTTTAGCGTATTCCACGTATGGAGTTTTAGCGCTCAGACTGTTTACAATAAATGTCTTTAAAGTTACCAAAAAAATATTTTTTTAGGTATAGAAAAAATTCTTAAAAGTAAAGTTGAGGTTTTACTCTCACCAACCAATTGATTACTTCAACTCCAAGTAAAAAATTTTAAGTACTAATATAAATGAGATAATGTTTAAGTACTAATATAAATGAGATAATGTTTAAGTACTAATATAAATTAAATAATGTACTTTGGTACTAACTCGTCAATACTAATTAAAAATATGATCATTTATAACAAAAATTTTCTTTTAATAGAAATAATTAAATATTGTAAAATAAATATGTATTTTGTAAAAATCATATCTAAAAAAATAAAACGATATAAATAAAATTTATTTTAAAGAATTGTTTTCAATATAATGCTTTCTTACAAACTCATTTTCATTATTTTTTTCTAACATTCCATAATGTATTTTTTCCATACAAACCCTAGTTTTTGCAGGATGATGAGCAATTGTAAACTCCTCAAAACTGCATGATTCTGCAAAAAATCGAAAACCCTCATTGTGTGTAGGTTTGGCTCCAGCATTCTTCACAAGAATACCTATATATGCATCATCAATTTTAAGAGGCACAGGTTGGAAGTATAATAACATTTTTTCAATCAAATCACTTGATAAAACAACAGCGCCCCCTGCACAGTAGTCCGGATAGCAGTTTGATCCATATTCATGTAGTTCAACTTTATATTTACCAGATCTTGAAACACGTGGTTGCTGATGATGATAACCTAAATATAGATTTTTTTTTGGAGTGTCTTTATTAACTAACAATTCAAACAAATTAAATAAGTTTACATAAACATCGTCATCTGATTTTAGCAAGTATTCATAGGAACAATAAATATGAGCCCATTCGAAAGCGGCCTCAACTTTAAAGGAAAGTTGATAGAAGTCTTCAAAAAAATCACAAATTATAATGTCACCATGCTTAGCTGATTCTTCCTCCATAGTTTTCATTATTTCTTTGTCTGGAGATTTCGAGAGCATAAAAAATGTACGAAAGTCATTATTAAAATGTTTATTTAAAGGTTTTCCCCATGTTCTTCGAATTGTTTCTCTTCTATCAAAATTAGATATATTACTAGTCACTAAAACAAGAAGCTTTAAATGTTCTTTACTACAGTTAAAACTTGAAGATAATTTTGTAATGTGTTTTTTACCAGCAAAATGATTTTCATTTGGTGAAAGAAAAACCTTTTCATAGTCAAAGACACAGATAAACATCATTTGAATTGTTAAAAGTCGAATA